CATTAATTAAGGATAAGACACTAATTTTCTTGGAAACTATTGAAAATTAAAAATATTCATACGAGGAAATTCGATTAGTTTAAAAAATTTTACAAAAATATGTAGATTGTTCACTAAGTAAAGAAACGGGATTCTATTCTTTTTGTTTGTAACAACTGGCCTGTTTCCATATTTTCTAAACACAACCAGTATAATTAAAAAAAATATTTATTTAGGGATAAAATCCTTAAATTAATTTTTCATAAATGGGAACCCTTATATTTAGATTAATGATATGATAGAAAATATTTTTTCTCACAATTTTGTTTTTATAATATTTTTTATTCGATGAATCGATCTTCTGTTATTGATTGTTAAAATTTAATGGCTTTTGAGCAATTTTCCATTGATGAATTTACTATTTAGGATACAGTAGTCATTATTTCTTCATATCATATGAAAATTGTAGCTTCGATGCAAATATGAGAAGGTATTAATTTTATTCTGATGTGTTCATTTTTTTATTTTTTTATTTATGTATGTTACTATTTTTTCAAAGCTCTAACCGATCGATTTCTTTCAGAGATTAATCAAAAGATTAAATATTGTATCTAATTGAATATATTTTCTACCAAAAATTGAAAACATTTTCCTCGTTTTCCATAAGTAGGAGAAAGCCCCAAAAAATTATAATTTTAAAAATTGATGATTTTAGATATTTTTAAAAATTTTTTAATTTAAAACTACCATAACTTTTTAAAAGGTGCATGGATAAAGACTATTTTTTTTTTTAGATACCTTAGCTATTTACCTTTTATTTAGAAAATTTTTTTTTTTAATCTGACTCTTTATCTGTCTATAAGATGGGATTCAAAAATTTAAGTTTTCTACAAATTTTAATTTTCTAAATTTTACATATATTTGAAAAAAAAAATTTTCTGGACTTATTATTGTGGTGAAAACAGACATTAAATTCAAATTAAAAATAAAAATATTATGTAAAAATTTGAAATTCAAACAATGTAGATTTTGAAATAATATACTAATTTCTTAAAATTAAACACTATCTACAAATCGCATCGAAGCGTTTATTATGATATTAATTTTAACCTCTGTCAGATTTAATAAAATTAAGCAAACATGTTTATAGTGATATTTTAAATGTAATTTCTACTCAAAAAAAATTGATCTTCAAAAGATATTTTGAAAAAAAGTAACTTACAACATTTAGCCTACCGATTATCGATGCGACACGTAAAATAATTCTTTAAGATATAGAAATTGTGTTATGATATACTTAATATTTAAAAATTATAATGTGAATTCGCGATATCATAAAAATTAAAAGTACTTCTAAAATTAAGCTAGCACTCACCAGGTTCAATACCTATATAAAAACAAATATTATCATAAATAATATAAACTTTTCAAATAATTGGAAAAAAATTGTTCAAAGAAATACAACCCATTATAATAAGTTACTTATTTTTTCAGAAACTATTTTTAATAATTGTAAAGAGATAAACTAATAGGTTCAAGTAATTAGATAATAATAAAACTAAGGATAATTTAATATTTTATAGGCAATAATTAAATACATACAAATTTTTGGGACATTTTAGTAAACCAAAAAACATTACATAAAATTTAATTGGTTATAGTTTAAAAACTATACTATTTACAAAAAATCGATGGAAATTAAAAAGAAAAATAATTTAATTTGACATATTTATATATTCAAAACTTCCTTTTTACTACAGGCACAACTTAGGATATGGGTTAAATTAAAAAAAAATAAAATGAATGAAAAGTTTATTATTATTATTTTTTGTTTCAATGCGAAGCTGAGAGGGCATCAATTTTACTATATTTAATTTTTTATGTTGGTCGCCACTTTTTCTTATTTCTCCCCGGACCGATTACTGTCAATTATACATCAAAAGTACACAAATTGTATTTAGTTGGAGACATAGCCCTTAAAAATTGAAAAAAATTCTCTCGTTCACTGTAAATGGAAGATATCTCCAAAAACTTTTAAATTTTAAAAAATCAGTAATTTTTTTAAATTTTTTTCAGTTTTTTTTCTTATAACTGCCATATTTGTTTTAACATTAACGAATCAAAACATTTTTTTATATAAAAACATTACATATTTTTGAAAATGATTATTCAATTACTTAATTGATCGTGAAAATAGTTTAAATGTTTATTCAATTATTCAAACTTCCTACATATTTTTTAATATTGAGAACTTGTATCAGAAAAAACTAGATATGATAGAAAAATTCAATAGTTACATATAAATTTAACGGTAAAATTTCATTAAAAAAATCGTTTAATATTGCAAACAGCAAAAAAACCGTTAACCTATATTAATTTTAGGTCTTTTTATGTGTTTTGAACACCTTATAAAAATATTGAACAGCTTAAATTCTAAATAAACAAACTATTAAAACTTAAATTTGAAAACTTAATTGAATGAAATAGTGTACTTATATGAATTAGACATGAATTTACATTATCTGAATAAATATTTATATAACTTACTTGAATTATCACCTATTAAAAAAAAATATCAAAAAATTAAATTTTGACACTATTGAACATTAATAACATTTTAACAATAATTAGCATTGCATATATTTTTTTTTTTGTAGAATGAAATTGAGTCATTAATGTGCAAAAATCTATTGAAGTATATCTAAAAATAAAAAAATATTAAGATAAAGCAAAATTATGAAGAAATATTTTTTTGGACTTTTGCAGTTTTTATTTAGATTTGTACATCAAATTATTGAAATTCGTACTACTTACATGAAGTAAAACCTAACGATTAAAATAAATTATATTATAATTACATTTATTATAGTAATACAATAATAAATATTAGATATACAAATTCATAGCTAATATTTATATCATATAAGCCCTATATGTAAGAGGATAATAATTCAAAAGATATATTAGAAATTTATCCGAACATTTACTCAAATTCGCAACTAAAGGTCGTTTAACATTCATGCTAATGTTTTACACGAAAATATAATGATATTTATCCATGCTTCATAAAATGTATTCATCTTTTGGGTTCCTAAATTTTTAGCATTTTCATAGCTTTCCTAAATGTATTCATCTTTTGGGTTCCTAAATTTTTTAAATTTCTATGGCTTCCTAAGTGTTGTTCATTTTTTATGGTATCCTAAACGTGAATTTCTATAACTTCCTAGATTTTAAGGAGTTCTTATGAAAAATTATAATATATGCGTTACCCTTGTTATGTACAAATAAAATTCAGAGTAGTGAAAGTGAACAATAAAAGAAGATTGACAATAACCTAAAACTACGCAAAATTTTTATAAATTATTTTTTTGATTGAAAATAAACATTGTTTTAATATTTTCGAAAACTATAATCGAACTTTCGTGAATTTTTGTAAACTTCCCTATGATTTTCGTGAACTAAAACAAATAACGTAAATTTTACATTCTACATCTTTATTTTAATATTGAAGCATTGACTTATATCAGTTTCTTATCTTTCACATATTGGTCCAGATCCTTTATTTTTACATATAATGACAATATAACGAGACATATTTAATAATGATCCTTATCGATATATGTGACACATGAACACATCGCTGACACTATTTTGTAGAAATTGAAGAAAAATCATAGTTGTAAAATAAAATAATAAAAATGGTTGGTGCACGCATGGAAAAGAAATTATTAAAAACACGAAAGCGACTAAAAATGAATACAAGGAACCTTTACTTACAAACTACCATACATATACATATACCTTTAACTGGATGATATGGGGAATATATCATATTTAATTACCCGATGAAAGAAAAACAAGAATCGAACATCATCAAAGTGTGATAACAAATTATCCCGGGATGCATATAAGGAGTGGAGTCCGTCTAGCAAACAGCAGCCGACATCCACCAAAGAAAATATAGACTCAGCACTGGAACAATTTCAACACCACATAAGTAGGATTAACATCAAACTACTTCATCAAATTCGAAAAAATTAATTCTTGTTTATTTTTGTTCCATAACCCGAACAACAGTACCTAGTTAAAAAAAACTATTGAATAAGCCTCCGTAAAACTGTTTGCTTAGTGGACCATCCTCATGATGCAACTAACAATAGTGGATATTTATGAGAAGCAATTAAGTCACAATAACTGTAGTCATACGATCCCCAAGATGTAAAGGGCCGATTATGGATAACATCGCTGAGGTAACCTTCTACTTCCTACACAAGCACTGCATAGTTGCACTCGCTAATATACTAAATAATTGTCTCCATATTGGCTATACTCCAAACTTCTAGAAAAGGACAAAGAACTAATCCGAATACAGGCAAAGAACACATGCTCCTGATGGACTATTGGCATCATCCTAATCAAATTACAAAAGGCCTTCGTGGAGCAGCATACCACCATTCCACAGCTAGTGCAACTAGTCAACAGATTAAGCATAAATGACAGCAACTATATGAAGACAGCGGCCGCCTTTCTCGACGTCGAGAAGGCGTTCAACTCTATGTGACATAAAAGCCTGTTTATATAAATAAACAGGCTAAATATATGTATATATTAATATAAATAAATATATGTAAAATTGTATGTTTATTTTTATTTTTTTTATGACAAAAACCTAAAGAATAAAATTAGTAATGCATACTAATCTGTTTTTTTTTTACTTCATATTAAACAAGTTAAACAATGTAAAATTGATAGAAATAATAATGTATCTTTACTTATCATTTTTATGATACATTATTAATGTTTTGTTATTATTAATAAAACTATGACAAAAACTGAGATGAAAATTAAAGTATAATTAACCTATTTTTAAAAAAATCATAGAACGAAGACAAAATATTTTTCTTTAATTTTGTTCTTCCTCAAGTTTATTTATTACATAACCGCCTTTTTTCATAGTGTAAATAAAAATGTTTTATTAGAATTAATATAATATTATATATTTATATGTTGTTAACTCAACTTACATGCCAGACTTTTTTTGAGCGGTGTAACATAGACTAATAAAATGTCAAAAATAATAATGTATTTATCTGTTATAAATAAAGAATAAGTTTTATGTATTTTATATATTTATTTGTAAAATATAAATAACCTAGTGATTTTTCTCAATGATAAATAAATGAATAATAAAAATTAAGTATGGATAATTATTTAATAATTTTAATATTTTAGATTGAAATATATTTATTGAGAAATAAAGAACAAAACCATAAGTATTACCATAGCGTGAAACACATAATACAATAATTAAAGTAATAATTGATGAAAAACCCTAGAAATATCATAAAAAAGTTAAAATGATAGAATTTTACATAAATAAAAAGCGTTAAAAATTTTTTAATACTTGTTGCTCACCATAATTCTTTTCCAAATTATTAAATTGTGTCATACGCAACAATATACTTGAAATATTAATTTAAAATAATTTACTCAAATGTTCTAACTTTTATAAATATTTAACCGTAAGTTGCTAAATTATTTATAGAAATTGTTAGAAAAAAAGATTTATATATGTTTGGAACACTAAAATTTATTTTTACACCAAAGAAAATAAATAACACATGTTTTTTTTTTCATATAATCCAGAACTATATTTGTAACTGTTATATTTAAGTTTTTATTATACCTAATCATAATGAAGTTATTCTTTTTTTTAGTGTGAAGTAAATTACATAAAATTTTAGTTGTTTAGAATGCATGTGTTATAAGTGACATTTTTAATTTCTAGAAAATCAAGTTTTAACTTTTTGTTTTCCGTATAACGCCATATAAAAAAATCGAGTACAACTTGGTCGAGGAATAGTTGAAATAAATAAAAATGATATCCGACAGTAATTAAGATCACTATCATAATCGAATTGAAAAGAGTGGTGAGGATGAGTAAACGTGCAGAGTTGGTTGAAGCTATTGCTAGAGATAAGCTATCTAAATAAATTAGAGACATTACCCTAAAAATTTGAAAACAACTTTTTTTGTTGCCCGTGAATGGGAGTAATTTCCTAAAAAATTACAATTTTATAGATCACAAAATTTCGTTTTGCTGTATAAACCATTATCAAAATTTATTTATTTTTACTACAAAATACTCTTACTAAAAGTAGTAAATAGGCCTTAAGTAATGAAAACAGATTGTATTTAAAATGTGTATGTTATAAAATAACATAATAAATTTTATTAATAATTTAAAATATAAATTCAATAAAAAATGAATATGTTTAGTACCATCTATTTTAAATATAAACTTTATATTTAATTACTACTCTGTATATTATACAGAGTGTTTTGTTTAATACAACCCCACTAAATTACTCATAGTAAAAAAAATTATTGAGATTTTAATTTCCTGATTACTTTAGATACATATTGTTCTCAAATTAATAGATATGTAATATTAGCTATTATAATATAATGTAATATTTTTTAAGTTTATCACTTAGGCGTTGTAAAAATGTCAATTTTGTTTTCTTAAATATGAACACATATTTTAAATTAAAAAATATATTTGAGTTTTTTTATTATTAAATTATGTTTGAATCTTTAATATAACTTCATCTGTTTATTAGATATAACATTTTGAATGTTCTCGTAAAGATGTCCACTTTACTTTTTCATTTGATATAAAAATATTAATTTTAAACTAAAAAAATCCAGCACAGTGGGGACGTGGCATAGTTGGGTCCAGTATAGATTTAATCTGACAGTTATTGACATCACTATCATAAAAAAAAATCGATGCAAATCTGTAGATAGTGTTTAATTTTAATCTACCAATCTACCAATTGGTAGATTATTACAAAAGCTACATGATCTCCTATTTTCTTATTTATATCCAGATTACAAGTTTAAGATTTATAAGTGTAATGTATGAATAAATATATAAAGGGAAATGGTGTTATTTAAAAAAAAAGTATGTCGAATGAAAGAGGGATATAAATATTATTTCTCATAAAAAATTGTATTGATCAATACACTTTTCAATAAGTTATAGCATTATAAAGTTAAAAACGTATAATATAAAATCGAGAATTTTCACACAATAATAGCATTTAGTGACTATTTTCTCTGTGAAGACAAAATAAAGTCCAAATTTTTTTTTTCTAAAATTAAGTACATTATATTATATTTAATTTAAGATATATATATTTATATAAATGCCAGACTTTCCGGAACACTTTCAAAAGTTAAGTTGAAAAAGTTAATTTTTTGTGAAAAAGTTGTCATTTTGAATCCCCCCTGTGGTAGGTAAAGGGTCAGATTTATAATAAAATATACCAAATGAAAAATAAAGTCATCATGCATCTATAAAAAAAAATTATAGAACGCAAAAAATTTTAAATATAACATTTTTTAGTGTTACACTTAATAAACGATTTAAGGCATATAAAAAAATTCAAATGTCATTTACTCATTAAAAATACTTTTTATTAAATTCAACATATTTTTCCATATTTAAGAAAACAAAGTTGATAACCTTACAACGTACAAGTGATAAACTTAAAAAGTATTACATATCTAATAAAATATAACATAATATTAAATAGTGGACAATATGTTACTAAAAGTAACCAAAAAAAAAAATTTCAAAATTAATTTTATTCTGTGAGTAATTGAGTAGGTTATGATAAAAAAAACACGCTGTATAATAAATATACTCTGCTTTAAAACAATCATAGCAATATCGAACTTACATAGTGACGGTGAGTAAGTAATATAAGAAAGGAAGTTAGCGTGTCACTCGGCTCCTAGCACCAATTTCTTCAGTCAAACATTCCATTAGATATATCTTGTCAACGTCCATGTGCAGTTGAATGTAAAAAACTTTACGTTTTATTAATGATTTAATGATTTTTTTTTAATATCAATAATTTGAATATTTTTTTCAATTAATTATTGTTTCGATTTTCATACATTTTCAACAAAATGGGAAATACAGAAAGTAATGTAGCCAGTGGAGTCAAAAAACAAGTTGACAGCTCTCCTTGTTTAATATACAACCTTGTGGATTTGAAAGGTGCGTAATTAAATTAGATAATGTATAAATAAATAGTATGATTTAATTTTTAATTAAGCTGGTTTTTACTAAAAGTAACACACTTTAAACATAAAATATTAAATATTGAAAAATTTGCTCATAAAATACTTTTATGATATTTTTAGTTTAAAAAAAATAACTGATGCGATTTATATTATTCGCTTAATGTATAAAAAAATATTTTTTTATTATTCTTATTCAAACATTTAATTGCGATAAATTATATGAAACAATATAAATTAACTTCTTATTATATTTGAAATTTGATTGTAATGTTAATTAATAATTATAGGAGGTGGTTTGTTAGTGGATTTGATTAAACGAGCAGTGCAGACTAAAGAATTTGCGGAGTTAGATTATGCAATTAAAACTAAGGTCGAACCGTTACTTTACAACAAAGGAGAAGGAAAAATGATTCCTATAGCCAAATTAGTACTACTCAGAAATCGTGATAGATCAAGAGCAAAACTGGTCAGTTAAAATGCATATAATTTATTGTATTTGTAGAATTAGTTATTTGAAAGTAGTACTCATACATTTTAATCAAATTAGATGGATGCACAATAAATTATATACAAACTACAACTTATAAATAAGTAGAAACATTTGCTGACTTAAAACATACAAAACAAAATTTACCAATAATGATATCAAACTATTTTGTGAAAGATATTTGAAGTTACCAATAGTCATAAAAAGGTTTACATTACAATAGATATATTGAGTAGAGGAAATGCTTTAATATTCTTAGTATCTAAAAAAAACTTATTTTCTAAGAAATAAAAATATGCTTAAAGATATTTATTAAAATAAAATGAAACATTAAAATACTTTTTATTCAGTTATCTAAAAAGTTAAAAAATGAAACCTATTTAATAAAACTAAAAGGATATATTAATTTTGAAATTCATTTTACTTATAAAAGTTAATGAATTAATAGTTGTTACAAAGTAATTTTTATTTTTAAGTCCTTTGAACAAATGACATGTCATATAAATAGCTTCATAAATAGTTTTTTTTCTCAGACAAAGCATATTATTACTGAACTACATACAATTAACAAACTAATTTAATTTTACTTTTAAGTACATTTATATTTTAATATAAATTTTATTGCGTGTTATAACTCTAATGATAATATATTATACTGAATAATTACATTACATCAAATGATGAACAATAAAATAACATTTATTTACATCATTATAATAAGTAATACAAATTTATAACTACTTCTTATGAGATATTGAATATTCGCCAAGAACAAATAATATAATTAGTAAAATATTATCATAATCTAAATCAGTTACTAATGTAGACGAATTCGAACAAAATATTTGGGAATCTAACTTAATTTCTCTCGTTCTTAAAAATATTTTTATTTAAATTTAAATAAAATGATTTTTGGTGGGCTGCGACAAAATTATGGGAGCCAAGCGCTCTCTAGATCCTTTTAGGTTCCACCTAAGATTTGGATAAAAATGATCCAGGGTTGTTCCTTTGAATTTAAAAACATTAAAACTTGTCAATGTATCTATAAATTCTACCTAACTTAATTATGTGCAATCTTGCCTTATACTTTTTTATCACTCAATTATTTTTTGAGTTATTGATATTAATGATGAGTAAATCACCAGGCTTAAAATATAGTCTGATGCCTTTACACTCGCATTAAAACGAATTAATTTTTTATATACATCACCTATTGATAATAAATTTTATTGTTTATAATATAAATTAAAATTTTTCGTCATTAATTAAATACTTAACGAATTATCAATAAACTAATACTTAGAGTTTAATTAAATTAAACAAAAGGTTAATTTAATATTTAAGTTTTGAAAACAGTAATCTTTTAGGCACAACATGACTAATATTTCACGTAAACTTTATGTTACTTTTCCTGTGAGTGTCGGACGAATTCACAAGTGATTTTAGTATGGAAATTATATTTAAAAAGATAAAGTTCTACAAACATCTTACCTTTCAGATTTACACGAATAAAAAAGTGTAAACAAGAAAATACTTTACTGAAAACTCGTAAAAAAAAACTTTCTAAGCTTTGGATACTAAAATTTCCTTTTATTTATCATATTAAAATTAATTTAACGTTCAATAGATCTTCACAAAAACGAATATATATATATATATATATATATATATATATATGTATCAATCTTGCGTTTACATACATGTATACATTAGTATAATACTGAAGTATTTGTTGATCGAAATTGAAAAACATATGAATACATAAGATGCAATTATCTTATTGCTTTAGCTATTTATCTCACATTTCTCAATTTTATTTATTTAAAAACTTAAACTAGTTATGTTTTTGTTGTCCTCGAGTATTAGAATATTTAACATTAGAATTCCAATATAATAAAACTAAGAAAATAATTGTTTAAAATTGAATTGAAAATTAATTAAAAGCATTGTATATTGTTACACAATATTCACAATTCTTGTATTCGCCAACAGAATTTTTTACCACCTGCATTTTATAATTAAACACCATCTTTTAGATGATTGATCAAAAACTGTCTACATAATTTTATAATCCAAAAATTAAAATGATAAATAATACAATACATACACAGCTTCATTAAATAAACTATTAATTGAATATTGCTAGAAAGTTATTTTTATCCAAGAAGACACATTTTAATACATTTGATATTTAAATATAATCAAAACAATAATGAGACCATTATCTAGGTTTTATCCTTTCTATAGATCTTTTTTCTGTAGCTCATATCCATGATCGATGTTGTAAAGCGCTAAAGCTTATTCAGTTCATAAACCATATTTGTCAAAATTTTATCAAATTTTGTCTCTAAAAGCCCTCTACTACTCTCTTATACGCCCTATATTTAAATAAAATAGTGTTCTTTGAGATACATCAATTACTGTCTCCAATTTCACAATTGAGCGTGTCCAAAAAAACTTCTACGTCTATTTTCTTATAAATTTAATATTCTTTATCCCCCACATGATTATGCTCCTGTCCATTTGGTACTTAGTTTTCCAAATCTAGCTCATTGTAGACATATTATTAGTCTTAGTTTTCTTAATAGTAACTTAGATTCTTCTAAATTATTATCCCTCATCAATTTCAAAACTTCGTGAAGAATCACTCGCTCCTCTTTTCTCATCATTATTTCTGACTATTCAACATCAAAACTACAAAATTCTTCTATAATTCGATTGATGTGTGATTGATAATATATGTCATTGTGTACTATATCTAAACTTGAAAATTGAACATGTGCCGTTATAATATTTAATAATAAATAAATAATAGTAAATGTATTAAATTATCATCAAAAAGTACAAATTATATAATAAATTTTCTCAAATAATCATAATACGAACAACGACTTGTTCGTATATTTTTTAAATAATTTTTACTACATACCTAAAAAACCTATATTTATCATCGGGGCTTATTTAAATTTTTGAGATCTGAACTTTTATACAAGGAAAAATCGTTGTTCATATTATCCGTTAAGCTAATAGTTATAAATTATATAAGCTTTAAATGTAACCTTGAACAATAAAATTTATAGGTAAAAAATAATATAAAAATTTTAAGCATTGTTGACACTATTTTTGAAACATTGCATTCGAACATCAAAAACACGTAGACACACAATTAAGAAAGAAAAAATTAATTTTGTCAAAAAAAAAAATGCAATAATTCTAAAATTCTCACATATTAATATTTTTAATATGATGAATATTTAAACGAGTTTGGAAATAATACATTATATTTCATTCATCCTTTGTTTAAAAACGTACATTATTTATTTAAAGTTATTTTTAGATTTCACCTCAATCTTATTTTGGATGCAAATCGTATCTCATTTTATACTAAAGAAAATATTTGTATTCTTATTACGGTAAATCGTCGGACAAATCTCAATCGATTTGTATCCCGGAACCCGAGTGTAAATGCATTAAGAAGTTTAGGTTTTCTGCGTCGGTATCATCATTTTTCTTTTTGGGCGTTAGCCTTGAGACAATTCTTTGACGTTGCGCGCAGCAATTTGCCAACAAGAAATTGAATGTAAAACAATTGTACTGATATTTCGAAGGAAAGGGTCCAATAAATTGTCGACCATAAATATGAAATCTTTTTTTATGACACTAGATCTAATCAATCTCCTATAATCAACTTTAACTTAAAGTCACCCGTTATGTCAACCCTTAATTCTTACAAGAGACGAGCCAATTAATATTGTCATCCCTATAAGCTCTCACTGGTTAGCACTTTCGGTGTATTCATCTCAGCTAAATTGACATTGAGGTGCTACTTTAGCTACCGCTCCTGACAATTACATTATGTCCAATGTCCAAAAATATATTGGGTTTAATCCATTATACACTACATTTAATTAGCCACAAAAACTTCAAGTGCAATAAGAAATAGTAATAATAGTAAAACACTTATATTTTAATTGATCACTTCGTTAAATAAACAATGTTTCAACATTTGCATTAATTTAAAAGTCACTTAAATAAACGAAACTAAGTTATTTTTTCCTCAGTTCATTTTAACACAGAAAATTCTTGTTTTAATTGGCTTTTCAGAGGATAAAAAAGGTTGTTAACACTTCAAAGAAAAAGAATCTTTGGAAAAATCACGTTGACATTTAAAACATTATCAAAGTTAAGAATATCATTTTATTTTTTTGAGTAATCGTATTGAACACAACTGATTAAATCTTATTAGGAATACTAAGAACTTAGCATAAAGTTTTGAATTATTGTGTGTCTACTTAAGCACCTATATGGTTTTATTAAAACTTTGTTATTGAATTGAATTAATTAATTTCAATTGAGCAGCAATGTCCCATTATTTTAAATCGATTATCGGAAGTTATTTTTAACAATTCTAAGAAAAACGTCAAACGAGTGATAAAATGAATTTTTAACAAACTTAATTTGATTTCACAGATTATTATTTACAAGTATCAAAGTTGCTTCCGAAAAGTAACTTCTGCCTTTGTACTTATCCTTTAAAATATTTTAAAGTTTTTATTATTTAGGAAGGAATGGCAAACAGAGAAACTCATAATATCTTGTTTGAGATCTTTTGTACAAAACATGAACTTTAAAAACAGTAAAATAAAATAACCTCAAAATTATTAATTACTTACATTTTATTCTTTCGAGTTTCAATACAATGTTTTAAGTTATTTTTATTTTCTGTTTTCATTGTTATACTATTAGAGATTAACATGTACATTATACAATCCTTGTATATATTTTTAAAAGTATCATAAAAACATGTGACAATATTTTCTTGTAAGCTTTTTACTTCTTGAACAACTTTCAAACGTTGAGGTCTAGTAAATAAACGAATGAATAAATATAATTGCTGTGAAATTTTGGATAGTTATTCGATGATTCTTATTTCTTGTTAAATTAAAAATTAATTACGCTCAAAATAAATTTTCTAAAGCATTAACTGTTAGTCAAGCATCCATCACGATGAAAGCACTATATGACAGCAACTTCATTTACACAAGGAAATATCGTTCAAATGTGAATAATATGATGTAAAAAAAAATACTTAACATAAGATGTCAGTTTATGATAATTAAAAATTCTGAACTATATTCTTCTTAAGGACTAAAATATGTATACATCAAGTCAAGTTTAACTTACTTAGAACATTGTTCAATTTACAGTAAACAACTCAGATAAATTTTTGAATTCTCGCTATGTTTACAATTACATATATTTTAGATAGCCGTGGGCTCTTAAGTAACTATACAGAAATATAAATTTTAGAGAGTTTGAATAGTTTAAATGTTTTAAGTTCAAAGACATTCAAGATAAAAAACATATTGCGAACAATTTTCTTATGAAAATTAGATAACCATGTATCTATTACGTTAAGTACTAAAAAATCACATAAATAAAAAATGTGTATGCATTGTTTATGTTAGTAATACAGTTTTAACAATTTCACTGATATAATGAGAGAAATAATAATAATAAATGGAGATATATTTTCTTGTGATATTAAATTAATATACATTTTCACGAATTGTTTTGAAAAATATTAAATATTCTAGGAACTATAAAAAAACTTATTTTTACATCTCATTAAAGTTCATTATGACCTTTTACTATTAACAAGTTTAATTAAAATTTTTAATTTATAATTATATAGAGTGTTCAGTAAATAGAGAAACGGGTTTCTATTGTTCTCATTGTTTATAAAATTGGCCTGTTTCCTTACTTACTGAACACTCTATATAGTTATTTAATTATCTTTTATATAAAAAAATATGAAAACCTAATCACAATTATATTTAAATTATAAATTTAAATATAAGTTTTTGAAAATATTTTAAATCCAAACGCAAGTTTATTAATTTTCTTACTAAAAATATTATATGTTTATAACATGTACAACTGACGTGTTAAATTAAAAACCATAGAATTACAAATTCTATACAAATTTAATTATTGATATTTAAGTGATGCTATAAAGTCACTACAAAAATATTTACCAAAGTACAGGAGGTATAATTTTATTAATAAATCAAAAGTCTTGCTTAGAATTCTACATAACAACTTATTTATGGTAAATTCCTTATTTATTTACGTTAAATTAAAAAAAAACAACTATCACATATTGTTCTTTAATACTTAGTATCATGATTTTTAAATATATTACATGTATATTAGCATGTATTTTTCTTTATAATATGGCAAACGTAATATTTTATTTTTTTTTTTTAATAAGAGGTTACTACTCTATTTATTTTTAATAGCAATTGTAAAAAAATTTATATATCTCACATTTTGTAATTTGTAGATCGTTTATCAGGGCTCAAAAATCATTCTAATTTTTCCATTTTTTCTAATTTTTTTTTTTTTTCATTCTCTACTAAAGGCCTTGCCTTATCGTTGCCCAATTGGATTGGTATATCTTGAGGAAATTTAAGTGCAGTGGTTTCCTGTTGTCTTCTGCACTGGGAACATGGTGCTATTTCGCCACCGTAGAAGCGCACGTATGGTCACCCATCCGTTCACATACGGCGGCTTAACTATAGAATTTTGTCAACAACTAGTGTGATCACGCCATAATTATAATAAAAATTTTATTTATGGTAATAAATTGACAAGTATATTTGAAATGTCTACATAGACGTATACAAGGTGTACACAGGTATACAAAGTACATTTAACCAGAGAGAGATTTCTGATTATTATTTTTGAACTCTCTCTATCCTACTTGCTCTCTAAAAACAATGTTATCAGCGTCAAAACTTTTCAGAAAAATCAGATATAATTCGATTTAATGTTGGTGGCCGGCTTTTATCTTACGTTTTTAACGAGTTTGCCCACCGAGTCAATTTGATTTCGGTTCCTTTTTTTTCTTCCTTTTCTTTATGTATTAATCCTCTCCAAACTTCTCGTTTGTTTTTCATTACTACGATATTCTCGCGGTATATAATCTCGCGGTACTACATTTGCGACTAATAAGATTTCGTTTTCTATTCTACAGCTACCACACCTAAAGAATATGGAAGACCCAAATGATTACGACATCGATAAGGACATACCGACAATTGAGGAACTGGAAAAATTCGGTAATTATTATGGAACCAAATTAAAATCATTAGAAGTTCAATTTGTTTTTTTTAATTCGAATATAGGTGAAGTACAATATCGAGAAGTATGCTGGGATCTGAAAGAAAGAGGCGCAGTAGGGGAGACCGTAATGCACTTATGTTTATTAAACGCTACTTCCATACACGCAGACTTGGCCAAAAGACTTTTGAAATTTTATCCAAAGCTAGTCAACGATATTTATATGGTTGATGAATACTATGGTGCTGCAATTTTTAATTAATGAAAAAGAATTAATTAATGCAGAAAAATATTCTCACAAAAAATTTGTTTTTCAATTTTTAGTAATTTTTTTTTTTTTTTTTTTTTTTTTTTTTTTT